GTTGGAGACACTACAAGATATGGCTGCCAACCGATGTCAGTGGCGTTCTTGTTGTCAGTTTCTGTCCAGATTGCCTGAGTGAATGTCTGTAGATGTAGGCACCTCGGAATGATTGTGGTAAGCTAGCACTAAGTCCCTTCCTCGTCCACCTTTATTCTTTTCTTTCCAATAAGGCTTTCAAATAAGTCATGGTTGTACGGCAGTGAAGCATCGGTGTTGAGCACTGATGTCATGCTGTTGATGATGATGATGATGACGCCAACTCCCGTGTACGTGTTAAGGTCTACGGAGAGCCCTCGCCTGAGTTCACCGCATCAGTTCGCGTCAGCCTGTCCTCTCTCACCTTTCCTCCTCAACTCATCATTGGTTCGATTATGGAAGACTCACTACCATCCTCTTATGCCTGTGGGGTCAAAGTGCTCTGAGGGCGTCCGCTCACATATATCGAGTACGCAGATGACATCTCTTTTTGGATCTAACCTCGTGGTAATGCAAACAGCATTAAATAATCTAAATGATTCTGCCTCACGATTCGGCATGTGCTTCACACCTGAAAAGTGTAGAGTGCTACTGAAAGACTGGGTGGGCTCCAACCCTAGCCTCATGCCTACGGATGAGCCGGTTGAGGTAGTGGACAAGTTTTTCTACCTGGCCAGCTGTATCAGTTTTGGTGGTCTCACGGAAGTTGATGTTTCCATCCAGACTGGGTGGGCTAGAGCAGCTTTCGTGAGTGCGCACCACCGGTGGTATAGACATGGCATAACCTCATCCGTCTAAGTTCGAGTTTACAATACTGCGCTGCGCTTCATTTTATTCTGCACGCTGAGGACGTCAAAAGACTTCTAGTGTTTGACCATCGATATCTGAGCATCGTTCGAGTCTGGTGGGAATCTTGGATCAACAGGGCGGAAGTACGGTTTTCGGAAGAAATAAATCACGATAAGTGATCTGATCGCACTACATAGGTTGCACTGGCTTAGCCACGTGCTCCGTCGAGTCTGGTATCTTGGATCAACAGGGCGGAAGTACGGTTTTCGGAAGAAATAAATCACGATAAGTGATCTGATCGCACTACATAGGTTGGTTGCGCTTAGCCACGTGCTCCGTATACTAGCCTACCGATTTATTTGAAGGGCCTTTTTGGCGCCACCACGCAAAGGATGGAAACGTGCCAGGGGAGGCCAAACAATGGTTTGACGTCAAAATATGAAAGCCGTTACTAGAAAACTCAGCTGCGATGGTCATTGCCGTCTTCCTGGATGGGGAACCTGAGATGGGACACATCAGTGGTTAGAGACATTGTCATACATGGCCCAGTTGCGCCGTCAATGTCGCTTGCGCATCCAAGCTATTGCTTTCAATGCATGGCTCCCTCACCAGTCTCTCCAGTGAGAAGTTCACTGACAACCTTGTTCTTACGCATCAACTGTATCACTAATGCTTCGAATGCACAGCTATCTAGCTCACCTCAAATCAACGGTGAGCGAAACTTTAGCAGAAATAACCACTGCACGACAAGTACACGGTTTTTGCAGCTGCTGATGACTGTAGTTGATGCGACATTTTTACTCCATCGTCAGAGTCGTCAAGTGAACCAACAGCCATAAGTTCTGTACCATTATAGTTGCTGGCACTATAACCCTGTGGCTCAAGTGTACATCGCAACATATTCGCCAGAATTCGCCAACCCTTGTTTGCTCAGGCAATGCCCCTCCCCCTCTTCTCCATGTTTCTCTCTCACTTTGTTGTCGGTGTGGTGGCAGAACAATCCTTTCTAGTATATGATGCCTGCTCCCGAAGCGTTCTGAGTATGCGGACCCAACAACAAGCTTTCATCCTAACCAACAGCTTCCGGCTTGACATGCTTGTCAGAAAGTAGTGCTATAATGATTCATTGGGCTGCACTAGGCGGAACTTCTTCTTTGGGGTTCAGTTCATGCCAAAATTGCCATCAGTGGACGATCCGACGAACAGCGTATTACAAGGCCATTTGGGGTAGTATTCCGAACATCGTCCATCCTTAGGCAGTGCAAAGTTTGCGTTATTTGGAAACCACTCATGAACTCGTTTGGGTCATGTGACTATCAATTACCTGTGGGGGAATTTAAGTAAGGAACGCCGTTTTTCTCGGGTATGCAGCTTGATTCCGGCCATTCCATTGTGGAGGGGTGTTCGTTTATCTGTTCGCTTTCCATCAGATCCCCATGGGTCGATTTAGGACCCTCCACTTCAACGGCTCAACTGACGGCATCAAGGCTTTGAGGCAGAATTTGAATGAGTGAGCGATTGTGCCACTTCGCCCAGTTCCCAACGAACTTACTTTCACCCTGAAAACAATGACTGTGCTCACTTCGTATTTTTATGATGTATAGCAGTCGGTAGATATTTCAGCTCGCATTTCATGTGCTCTTCTGTTTCAGCTTTGTTCTGGAGGTCTTTGAATTTGTGACCCTTCCAGTCTTCGTTCTATATACTTGGCACCGTGATGTCCGAGATGGAGGTTGATGAGGTTGCTCCAGCCGCGGCGCAGTCTGCAAATAAGAAGCGCTTTGAAATCAAAAAGTGGTATGCTGTTGCGCTTTGGGCTTGGGACATTGTTGTTGACAACTGTGCCATTTGCCGTAATCACATCATGGATTTATGTTGGTTTTTCTTGGATTTGGCCAGAATAACCTACTTTTCAGGTATTGAATGTCAAGCCAATCATGCATCGGCAACAAGTGAAGAGTGTACCGTAGCCTGGGGAAATTGTAACGTACGTTGTCTATTTTTAACGATATCGGAGACATTCAACATTTGTAGCATGCTTTCCATTTTCATTGCATCTCTCGATGGCTGAAAACTCGCCAGGTGTGTCCATTGGATAACCGCGAATGGGAGTTTCAGAAGTCAGTGATGGTTTGTTTTACCACTCAACTTTTTTATTCTAGGTACGGCCACTGATATTTACAATTTTTGGACAGTTACTGTTGCCCCCCCCACCCTTAACTTCTGATTCGGTCGTTCAAATAAAAGTATTTAACTCGAAACTCTTTTTTTTCTCCCGGTCACACATTTGTAAAACCCAAGCTTAAAGCTCAACTGTTTACATAGGTAATGTGGAATTGTTGTCGGAACTTATGTCCCGGATCGTCAAAAAACGATGTAAGTTTTGCCGATTTTCACATTGTCTTTCGGGGTTTCACTTCATAGCGAAGAAATTGCTCTTTATAACAGCAGCTCACGTGTTTTAGTAATTTAGGTAGAGTTTCAGTCGGCTTTATGGTTAGTACATTCGCGCAGCCGCTGAATTCCGTATGGCCATCTGGTACTCCAAACTTTGATCATTTGGTCAGGGATTCCGCTACCAATGTGCATGTCCTGAAGCATTCTTCGGAGAAAACCAATTTTCTAGACTGTTCATTTGTCATCACCCTTCGGAAACTAATTCCAGGCGGTTCACTCAGACTTGTTAGGTATTTGGTAACCATATGACCTCATGAGTGTGGCAGACCAGGTATGCCTGTTGAATAACAGCTTGTTCGGCCTTTCTTACCTGGTTTTGATAACCCACCATTCGGCCTTCGATCAAGTTGGCAGTGACAAATGTTTTTTTGACATTAAATCGGATGGTTGGACCAACTACGCTGGCAGAACCAGCTTTTGCATGTTTAGTTACCTCATGCTGTCGTGTTTGCCAAATATACTAGCCTACCGATTTATTTGAAGGGCCTTTTTGGCGCCACCACGCAAAGGATGGAAACGTGCCAGGGGAGGCCAAACAATGGTTTGACGTCAAAATATGAAAGCCGTTACTAGAAAACTCAGCTGCGATGGTCATTGCCGTCTTCCTGGATGGGGAACCTGAGATGGGACACATCAGTGGTTAGAGACATTGTCATACATGGCCCAGTTGCGCCGTCAATGTCGCTTGCGCATCCAAGCTATTGCTTTCAATGCATGGCTCCCTCACCAGTCTCTCCAGTGAGAAGTTCACTGACAACCTTGTTCTTACGCATCAACTGTATCACTAATGCTTCGAATGCACAGCTATCTAGCTCACCTCAAATCAACGGTGAGCGAAACTTTAGCAGAAATAACCACTGCACGACAAGTACACGGTTTTTGCAGCTGCTGATGACTGTAGTTGATGCGACATTTTTACTCCATCGTCAGAGTCGTCAAGTGAACCAACAGCCATAAGTTCTGTACCATTATAGTTGCTGGCACTATAACCCTGTGGCTCAAGTGTACATCGCAACATATTCGCCAGAATTCGCCAACCCTTGTTTGCTCAGGCAATGCCCCTCCCCCTCTTCTCCATGTTTCTCTCTCACTTTGTTGTCGGTGTGGTGGCAGAACAATCCTTTCTAGTATATGATGCCTGCTCCCGAAGCGTTCTGAGTATGCGAACCCAACAACAAGCTTTCGTCCTAACCAACAGCTTCCGGCTTGACATGCTTGTCAGAAAGTAGTGCTATAATGATTCATTGGGCTGCACTAGGCGGAACTTCTTCTTTGGGGTTCAGTTCATGCCAAAATTGCCATCAGTGGACGATCCGACGAACAGCGTATTACAAGGCCATTTGGGGTAGTATTCCGAACATCGTCCATCCTTAGGCAGTGCAAAGTTTGCGTTATTTGGAAACCACTCATGAACTCGTTTGGGTCATGTGACTATCAATTACCTGTGGGGGAATTTAAGTAAGGAACGCCGTTTTTCTCGGGTATGCAGCTTGATTCCGGCCATTCCATTGTGGAGGGGTGTTCGTTTATCTGTTCGCTTTCCATCAGATCCCCATGGGTCGATTTAGGACCCTCCACTTCAACGGCTCAACTGACGGCATCAAGGCTTTGAGGCAGAATTTGAATGAGTGAGCGATTGTGCCACTTCGCCCAGTTCCCAACGAACTTACTTTCACCCTGAAAACAATGACTGTGCTCACTTCGTATTTTTATGATGTATAGCAGTCGGTAGATATTTCAGCTCGCATTTCATGTGCTCTTCTGTTTCAGCTTTGTTCTGGAGGTCTTTGAATTTGTGACCCTTCCAGTCTTCGTTCTATATACTTGGCACCGTGATGTCCGAGATGGAGGTTGATGAGGTTGCTCCAGCCGCGGCGCAGTCTGCAAATAAGAAGCGCTTTGAAATCAAAAAGTGGTATGCTGTTGCGCTTTGGGCTTGGGACATTGTTGTTGACAACTGTGCCATTTGCCGTAATCACATCATGGATTTATGTTGGTTTTTCTTGGATTTGGCCAGAATAACCTACTTTTCAGGTATTGAATGTCAAGCCAATCATGCATCGGCAACAAGTGAAGAGTGTACCGTAGCCTGGGGAAATTGTAACGTACGTTGTCTATTTTTAACGATATCGGAGACATTCAACATTTGTAGCATGCTTTCCATTTTCATTGCATCTCTCGATGGCTGAAAACTCGCCAGGTGTGTCCATTGGATAACCGCGAATGGGAGTTTCAGAAGTCAGTGATGGTTTGTTTTACCACTCAACTTTTTTATTCTAGGTACGGCCACTGATATTTACAATTTTTGGACAGTTACTGTTACCCCCACCACCCTTAACTTCTGATTCGGTCGTTCAAATAAAAGTATTTAACTCGAAACTCTTTTTTTTCTCCCGGTCACACATTTGTAAAACCCAAGCTTAAAGCTCAACTGTTTACATAGGTAATGTGGAATTGTTGTCGGAACTTATGTCCCGGATCGTCAAAAAACGATGTAAGTTTTGCCGATTTTCACATTGTCTTTCGGGGTTTCACTTCATAGCGAAGAAATTGCTCTTTATAACAGCAGCTCACGTGTTTTAGTAATTTAGGTAGAGTTTCAGTCGGCTTTATGGTTAGTACATTCGCGCAGCCGCTGAATTCCGTATGGCCATCTGGTACTCCAAACTTTGATCATTTGGTCAGGGATTCCGCTACCAATGTGCATGTCCTGAAGCATTCTTCGGAGAAAACCAATTTTCTAGACTGTTCATTTGTCATCACCCTTCGGAAACTAATTCCAGGCGGTTCACTCAGACTTGTTAGGTATTTGGTAACCATATGACCTCATGAGTGTGGCAGACCAGGTATGCCTGTTGAATAACAGCTTGTTCGGCCTTTCTTACCTGGTTTTGATAACCCACCATTCGGCCTTCGATCAAGTTGGCAGTGACAAATGTTTTTTTGACATTAAATCGGATGGTTGGACCAACTACGCTGGCAGAACCAGCTTTTGCATGTTTAGTTACCTCATGCTGTCGTGTTTGCCAAATCCCACTGTCACTAAAAGAAGACACAGGACGGACGCTCGATTTCGACGTGAAGTATGGTAAGCTCAGCGAAGGGCTTTGACCATGTTGGTGCGTACTGCCTGGGAGACCTTGGTGTCAGAAACCCGACTTGTGTCTGGCGATCCCTACGAACATAGTTGCGTCACGCAACCAATGATGCTATCATTTTGACGTGCCCGTCCTGAATCACTCTTTGTGGTTATCGACACTTTCATTTCTCCTAGCTGTCCCTTTTTCGTTTCACAATATTGGTACCCAAGTACTGTTGCAACTTGAGGTGAACTTACATCGTCCAGGTTAAAAAACCAAACTGCCCTTCTGATCTCACGTTTCATACCTGAGTTTAGTCCTTTCTCATCACTCTCATGGATTGCGGTATCAGTGCCAAACCATGACTTTTTACTGTTAACCGGGAACTGCCTGGAAAAAAACATGTTTTTACCACATGGAAATGAAGTACTAATAGCGTTCGTACCTGAACTTACACTTGATATGTTTCAGTGAAGACAAAATTGTTTACGGGTTGGTGAATGTCACCATCTTTGATAGACCGCAATTAGGAGAATGGCGTAGTTAGCCTGGGAATTATCGATGAGCTTCGACGTTTCTTTGTAGCGAAAATTTGCATCACACCTTGTTTGGATGCTAATCTGCTATTAGTTTTCCTCTGAACATTTATTTGCCATTTTTTTTAATCTTCAGGGCGAACCACCTGAACGACAGCGTCTTCTATCCTCGTCCCTTTCCATAGATACCGGTCAAGCTGCTTATGGAGTGTAAGTTTGGGATGCAATTTCTCCAATCTTCTTCTAACCCTGTGAGGTTTACCATGTGGTTTATTCTCAGGATATCTTGAACCATTCGGTTCTTCACCGTCTCTGGTGACCTTGATCCTTCTGAATATGGACATACTTTGTTGATATGCGGAGTTCAACTGATGTTCTGAGCTGAGTGTTCTCTCAACACTCAGAATGGATACACATTCAACGGATTAGAATGTACAGGATTGAGCGGAAATGTCCCTGTTTAATTAGGGTTGTCTGTATCACGGGATTCGATATGGTTCATCTGAATTCCTTTGCACCTCATCACGCGCTTCCTGCGACGAAATCAGGTGACAGATAAATCACGTGACTTCTCTTGCTTTCAGTTCTGCGACATGAAGGCCATTTGTTCCATGTGGTCTGTTCGATTGACGTCATAATTCAGGCTGAACTTAGTAGAATGTCTTATCTTCTTTGTCTTTTTGAATATCCATTTTCATATAGTTAACACAAAATTCAGCGGGCGTCACTAGCTTCATTAAATCGGACAAGTTCTTGTTGCAAATCAATAAACCGAACACAGACAAAATGTTCCAGTGTAGAGGTCAAACAGTTGGAAGTTGGAATGACGGCCATGTGATGCCGGTAATTTTCGATTTGGACTGACTGGTCGGTGGTCAGTTCAGTCGAGTTAACTGAGTTAGTCGCTTCCACTCTTAAGTCGAACTCACTAGTCTGATGGTGGCTGATCCAGTTCAGCTAATTGACAAGCTATTTGTGATCGACTTATTGAAACCTGGCAAATGACGCTACGTTGGATTTTCAACATTCAGTGGTAGAGGATAATGGAGAACTCTCAGCTGAGCCTTTTTGTCGTACGTTCTTGTGACAACCCACTTGAACAATGCCTAAATCGGTGCTATCCTGTGCTATCCTCATTCCGAGACAATTCTCTGTGGTCCTCTCGATAAACTCGGGTTTTGCGACCTGTCAAAACATGTATTAAGAATTGATCACCATTAGTGCGTCGATGACCAACAGGTTGTCTCTAGGATTCATCTTGAGCATCGGTGAAACGTAAAGCTACATAAAGCTACGTAAAGTTACATTCTGAGTTTTAAAACGCCAACCGAGTCTCTGACCAAGCTCTCTTGTGGAATCTCTTTCACTTACGCCCTCTTGGTTTTGTGTGACACAAAACTTCAACACTAGTTTGTATTCGCCATTGCGTAATCCATAGTTGACGAACCATGCATTTCCACTACCCTCTGCAACTGAGCTGAAGCCAAGAAACTGTGTTGAATTCATACAACTGTTGAAGTCTACATTGTTCGACTGTGGCACTTTTTCTGCGCAAAGTTCGGCCGTGAGAAGGCACGTCAGCTGAGGTAACTGAGGTAAGTTATGATCAGTCGAAATCGTAAGGTAGGGTTCGAAACTTGGACCGTCTTATCCGGAAGCTCACATCTCAACTACTGAGCTTTCTCGAGCGATAACCCGCGTGTCATGAACAAAACCCACTCGGATTTACATTCGTACCCACTTTGTACCCTATTCAACCAGTGACATGATGTGGATCAACGTGGAACTGACGCCAATCAACACACAGGTCAAATACCCGAGTGCGTTATTGAATGTCTTAGAACACTGGTCAACCGTATAGATCTTCTTAGCTACCTATTAAAAGGTGATTTTTTAGTGTCAACACGGGAGTCCAACAACCACGAATTCCCAATTTTTGAAAGTAATGAAATGGTCTTGGTGCATCCGTTTATTGGTTTTATCTGGAAATCATAATCGGATTCCCCAGCTTTTTACTTGGGATTATGTATGGCAGCTTATATCACTCAACTTTTTGGGGTGTTCAGTAACCTACAAGAGAGAGCACCACGACAAAACGGGCTCTTTGATCTCTTCTGGGGTTGATCCTTGATGGGAACCCCAAGACCAGACAGTGTTTGGAGCAAATGGCAGACGTGGATTAGTAATATATCCGATGGCGTTCGTGCATATCGTTTGTTTTCAGTGTGTGCCTACTCGATCCCCACACCCACGAGAGCAACTGTCCATGACAGCACCTCTCAATCACTATCCGATTCAGAATCCAAAAATCAGCTACGCCTTCGTCGCGTAACTGTATCTCGATTTTCAACACCATTCGTAAATGAGACTTCGACAGATGGAACTAACGTACAACCCGTACTCGGTTTACATCTGATGTTAAGACTGTTGGAGGGTGTTCTCTCTTTCAAGGTGTTCGTATCAAGTCATAGCCGGCGTAAAGCTACACTATGGGCTCTCTAAGGTCCCTTTGAAGGGTCCACCTTTCCCTTGAAGAATACTATGATTGTTTCCATGTGGGTTCAGATGACTCGTATGAGGATGAACAGTTCAACTTCGTCACTGCTCATTTCTTCAATGCTTCGCAGTCAGGCTAGCTATAATTATTTGGGTAATCCGGCGTCTACTGACCAAACTCCAGTTACAGATCTTGTTGGGTTGTACCACTCACTCCTTTCATGCGTTCAGATGCATCTTAGTACATTGTATGGAGATTAGTCAACGTGGAACAAAATGCATGGTTTTCCCCAGTTTTTAGTGGCTTATTCAGGGGTCCACCGGATGATGAGTTGCATAGAGAAAAAATAAGAGGATAAATTGCTCAAATCTGCAGTCAAAATTCCCAAATCAGGACGCATGATTAATATGGTGTTCCATTAACACTACATTACAATACTCTGTTCGTTTTCACCGCCTCGCCAAAGTGGTTCCTTTCTCGAGGATCTGGAGCAGTTTACTTTCTTTGAACGTTATTTTTAGAAGACCTGACAGCTTTGCATCCATTTTTTAGAACCGAACTGTCTTGCCACAGCACTCATTTCGTCATGTTTGCATCACGTTCCTCTATAGCGTAGATTATTATGGTGGCGAGTCTTCTGAGGTCCGTGTGGAATTCCAGTTTGGGAGAATATTGTTCACCATTTGTACTGAATTCGCTGTGTATTTTCGCTGCGTTGCCAGATATGCCGTACTGAGCTTCCACGTAGCTTAACAGGCCTTCATCAGAAATCCACGTCCGCTTTTGTGACCATAAATTCAAAACTGAAGAGTCTGAGTGAGCGTGCGATGTGTATTTTCCGGAACTTGTGTTGTATTAGCGACTTGGTGGCCGTTACTCAATCCAAGCCACTTTCTTTTCCGAAAGAAATATGTATCCAAGACTATTCCCCATTATCACACGCGAGGGACTTACTGATTGGTGAACCAGGAAAGGAGAATTCGACGGAAAAAGGGGATTACCAGACACTGCTTTGGAGTAATTTCGAATTATCCTTGTTGGTGGGTTTTTGTGAGAAAATGGCAAACAGTACGTTCAAGTCAATCTTTGTTTTGAATATGGTCGGGTTTGTCAGTCCTTCAATTTGTTCGATTTGTGCTTCGGAATGACAAGCTATCAGTCTATAGTTTCTGGTGCCTTGTCCGCACCTTTTTCAATGACAATATGCACTGCGATAGGTGTTGATCTCATCTCTGACGTTTTGCTCCTTTTATCAGCTGTGCATCTCCTACAAATCCGGTGATAGAACAACCGTCTGACCGCGATGCTATGGTGAGGGATATAATCAAAATGGTTGAGAGGTGAGTAGTGTCATTGTTTGTGCTATTCTATGAAAGCTTCAAGAAAACAAACGGTGATTGACTATGGGCAACTACGAGGTCTTGATGAGTCTTACGGGAGCGCTGGACCAGTAACACTGAGGTGGAAGAAATGGTTTACGGATGGAGCAGCCTACTTTGGATGGGCAGACTAACCAAAAACCCGATAGGTTACACAACGAGCTCAACAGCACGACCTTTCGATTCAGCAGTACGTCGAACGACAGCAACTCGAGGTCAATCAGATAACGACAGTGCTCCTCACACAGCTCCCTGTCAGTTAGAAATCAACTGTTTTCTTGGACTTTGGAGATTTGATGGGGATCCTAAATGGTTGAAATACTCGACATTCACTCCTACCGATATAACTCCTCTGGAGAGACTACAGGTTTTGGATCCTTAACTGGCTCCAAGGGCTCTCCAATTTTTTTATTTTTATTTCCGTCGTTCAGCCTTTCGGTGCCTAACTGCCATGCCACCAGAAGGATGCACGAGGGCTGGGATACTGCTAGGTTGCCTAAGCCTAGACAGGGGAACTCGAGAGGTAGATTCGGGTTCGAACCACGGACCTTCCAGTCAGTAAATTCGCGCTCTAACCACTGGGGCCATCTCGCCCGATTAAATGGTACCATGTTTTTCACTTGATTACAAGCGCGAAAAGTGCATACCGCAGCAGTGCCCTCTACTAAAGTCTCCATTACCAACAAAGAGTGCAAATGCGTTTGGACCTCTTACTCGACACAGTGAAGAATTCCTGAATTTTTAATTCTCAAGAACCCAGTTGCATTCGGATTTGGAAGATGGGACCACCCAGTTCTAAGGATCTATCCCGTCAGTTTTCTTACTCAATACAAATGAGAGCGTCATTTGCCTAGCTCTGGAATGAGCTCGAGATGGCTTGATAGTTAATGCGTTCAACTACTGACCGAGAGGGCCGTGGTTCGAACCCAACCATTGCGTTTCGACAGCTCCTGTCTATGCTTCGGCAACCTGGCTGTATCTCAGCTCTCGTACTCCCTTTGAGTTGCAAGGCACCCGTGCACCGAGGATGTGCTAAATCTCATCGATTGAGCTTAGGAATGTGTCCCCCGGTCGTCATGCGATGGCTAATCGATTATTCTCAAAACCTCACATATTACACCCGGAACTTCAGTTTTAGAAATGTCCTGATTTGCGGACCCTCTTTCCGTCATTATCACTTATTTAGATTGGCCTCTGTGTGTCGTTGCTGGTGACCCAACATATCCGTTTACTTTCAACTACCTTTTTCGAGCGGAAGCAGTTTTTTTAATTTTCCTACACAACCGGTAGTTCCGATAAACTGCGTCTGTGATCAGAATCACTATCCTCTTTGTGAAACAATCCTCCCGCTTCGATAATCGTATTAGGAGCCTCTTGCGGGATGTGCTTTCCATTAGTGCCTTGTATGGAAAACTTAACTAGGCCGAAAAACTGCTATTAAACCAGGTAACATGTTGCTAACGAAGGTCCTGTCTAACATCGATTTTTTTCGTGGCTGAAACCCTTCGGATGCTGTCAACGCCCGAATGTCTGTGTCTCGATCCGTCTTGTGTTGACCTGTGAAAACCGTCCAAATCAGAGTTAACAGGTTCTCAAATTCGCTTCTCAAGAAGCTGTGGAGGAGAAAGGATATGTGGTGGTGCGGTTCTAGGCAACACTGGTTGCTGTGAAATTTGGAACACCTGTGTAGCGGAGGACCATAATTTAGTTCACCAGCCTTGATCGAGCTCGGAGAGCTCAGTGGTTAGGCCTCGAACTTACTGATCAGATGGCCCTTGGTTCGAACCCATATATATCTATTCGGTTGGTAGATGTCTTTGATTAAATGGTACCATGTTTTTCACTTGATTACAAGCGCGAAAAGTGCATACCGCAGCAGTGCCCTCTACTAAAGTCTCCATTACCAACAAAGAGTGCAAATGCGTTTGGACCTCTTACTCGACACAGTGAAGAATTCCTGAATTTTTAATTCTCAAGAACCCAGTTGCATTCGGATTTGGAAGATGGGACCACCCAGTTCTAAGGATCTATCCCGTCAGTTTTCTTACTCAATACAAATGAGAGCGTCATTTGCCTAGCTCTGGAATGAGCTCGAGATGGCTTGATAGTTAATGCGTTCAACTACTGACCGAGAGGGCCGTGGTTCGAACCCAACCATTGCGTTTCGACAGCTCCTGTCTATGCTTCGGCAACCTGGCTGTATCTCAGCTCTCGTACTCCCTTTGAGTTGCAAGGCACCCGTGCGCCGAGGATGTGCTAAATCTCATCGATTGAGCTTAGGAATGTGTCCCCCGGTCGTCATGCGATGGCTAATCGATTATTCTCAAAACCTCACATATTACACCCGGAACTTCAGTTTTAGAAATGTCCTGATTTGCGGACCCTCTTTCCGTCATTATCACTTATTTAGATTGGCCTCTGTGTGTCGTTGCTGGTGACCCAACATATCCGTTTACTTTCAACTACCTTTTTTCGAGCGAAGCAGTTTTTTAATTTTCCTACACAACCGGTAGTTCCGATAAACTGCGTCTGTGATCAGAATCACTATCCTCTTTGTGAAACAATCCTCCCGCTTCGATAATCGTATTAGGAGCCTCTTGCGGGATGTGCTTTCCATTAGTGCCTTGTATGGAAAACTTAACTAGGCCGAAAAACTGCTATTAAACCAGGTAACATGTTGCTAACGAAGGTCCTGTCTAACATCGATTTTTTTCGTGGCTGAAACCCTTCGGATGCTGTCAACGCCCGAATGTCTGTGTCTCGATCCGTCTTGTGTTGACCTGTGAAAACCGTTCAAATCAGAGTTAACAGGTTCTCAAATTCGCTTCTCAAGAAGCTGTGGAGGAGAAAGGATATGTGGTGGTGCGGTTCTAGGCAACACTGGTTGCTGTGAAATTTGGAACACCTGTGTAGCGGAGGACCATAATTTAGTTCACCAGCCTTGATCGAGCTCGGAGAGCTCAGTGGTTAGGCCTCGAACTTACTGATCAGATGGCCCTTGGTTCGAACCCATATATATCTATTCGGTTGGTAGATGTCTTTTTATCGAGATGACTCAGTATTCCGGCGTTTCGAACAAACGAACGCAAAGTTCAGGTCAATCGACCGCACTTCTGTTCACCTGAATAGACAGATTGGATTAAGGGGAAATTGATTTGCATGTCATTAGTCTCGTTCCGCAGAAAGCACTGCCGCCTACATAGTTCACTTCATCTCAGCACTGGTCAAAAAGTCTAATAGTATACACTGGCTATTTGTCGACCACACATGCTTGACAAAGTATGTTTGCTATATTTTCATAGAGGAAACTACTCACAAGGTTGCTGAAAACTCCTCGACAGCCCACGACCCATTTCGCCCCTCTTGGGGCTCATCAGGTAGGCGCAGTCCCCGAGTTTCCGTCAACCTTATGTTCTACTTGAACCCAATTGGGGCTGTTTTTGAGAAATACACTCATTTGCAAATCAATTTGGTTTTCACGAGAGACTCAACTGATATTCTACAACTGAATGTGCTGCACACAGGCATGTTTCAGTTGGCACGATATTCGAGATATCGCAGTATATTTTCATAAACGAGAGATTCAGTTGAGTCTCTCGTGAAAACCAAGTATGCTTGCTGTATTTTTTTTCTTACTAAAGCAGAGCTTGATCAAGTTCCAGCTGACTAAACATTTGAATGCGTAGCTGCTGGTCGACAACTTAAAGGCGTTATTTTTCTCCATGCACTTAATGGACATGCCCATCAACTGCCTATAAGTGACCCGCAAATCCAAATGAAGTACACTGATGATATGGTGGATTGACAGTAGGCGTCCTGCGCTTGGAACACATCTGCAAGTACAAACTTTACTTATATTGTCTTCTTCCAGTACCGATAACTTTTCCTATACACTACCCTCGCCCAACGTCTCAGCAGGCTTTTTATTAGCTATCAGACCCTCAACGTCCTGTTCGCAGAATCGCCACTATAAACTATCTAGATATTATCCAATCAAATGAGCTTGGTTCGTCTTTCATCCAAGCTGCACCTAACATCTTCATCATCAGTGTTCGACACCGAAGCTTCGCTGCCGTACAACCATGATTTATTTGAAAGCCTTATGGTGAAGAGAATGATAAAGGTGGACGAGGAATGGACTTAGTGCCACCGTGCTACAATCATTTCGAGGTGGCTCCTCCATACACGCATTCGGACAATTTGGATAGAAACTGACAAGAAAAAGGACAAGAAAAAAGTTTATTAGAAGCCATATCGTCTCCAACCAGGCGCAATGGGGATCACGCAGTCTCCATTCTGGTAGGCGAGTAGCGCCCATAGTATCCAAACGTTTCGTAATCTCTTTCATACCCCCCTTCATACTCCTCTGCCAAGTCAAGGGTTGGCCACCTCTCTGCTTCCGCACCACTTGAATGGGGCACGGAAATAGCACTGTCTTCGGCAAACGATGGT